TTTCGGATGGACCTTGGCCTGCACTCTCACACAACAGATGGCCAAGAAATGCAGGACAGGGCTGCCTACATGCAGCAAATTTCACCAATGTGAGTTGAACATCCGGACCGGTCTGATACCTGGTTACTCAAACCCTTGCGTTCTCAACCGGAATGGATCGAATGACCGTCCTGTGAGAGCATGAGTAGCACAGTTGGTAGATTCTGGGCCGCGAGTCTAGACGCTCTATCGATCAACCGCGAGAACGGAACCATGAGATACTCATCATGCAAACGACGCAAACAATAGCAACCCTTGAAACCCAATCTTAATGGAGCATGGTGTTGTGAACAATATTGGATTCTGACAACCTGAACTGGAGCCCCGGCCAGGAACCCACCCAAGATTGAAAGACATAAAGGCTCAGATCCATTCCATTCTTTCTTTCTGAAACCCCAGGAGACACAAATCAAGTCCAGGTACCCGGGCACCTCTTCATCCTTTCTCACTCTCATCTTCAACCTAATATCAGCCAAGATGGTCCGCCTCTCCGTCCCGCTCACCATCGCAGCCACGCTGATCGCCAGCGGCATGGCCGCATGCTCAAACACTGGGCAGGCTCAGATGGTCACCTACGTCAAGCGAGCGACCAACCTGACCCAGGAGCAATTCTGGGACTACTGGCAGACCCAGCACGCCCCCAAGGTCGCCCCCTTGGCTGTGCACTTCAACATCACGCGTTACCAGCAGGTTTGTAAATTGTAGCCTTGGCTTTTGCATTGCTGCGAGCCGGCAATGAGCATAAACTGATTCTGTCATAGATCCAAGTCGGGGGCCAGATTCTTCCCACCGAGGCAGGTTCAACCGTGCCGGCATCCACCGTCCCCGTTGACTTTGACGGCATTGCCATGTTCCTGTACAAGTCTCCCGCGGTCCTCACGGCAATGCTTTCTCACCCTTACTACCTTGCTGTTGTTGAGCCTGACGAACATGTCTTCATCGACAAGGGTGCTTTTGGTAACGGCATGGTCGCAACATTTGTTGGTACCGACATCGAGATCGTTGATGGGAAGCAGGATGTGTGGGTAGGAAGTCAGGCTACGCGGGAAAAGTTTCAGAAAATCTTTGAGTCGTACCTGTAGGCCCTGGGTGGAAATCCACCAGTTATCTCAACTTAAATTCTGCAAGAGAGAGGAACCTGCCGTATAGAGTAATTTTACCGGAGACCCAAGTACATGTAATAATTCAGTAGATGTGTTGGTTCTTCAATTTTGGTACATCACTTGGCCGCGTGTCATCCGCAAGTCTACTTGCCATTCATGTGAATCTTGCTCGTTGGCAATGTGCTGCCAATTCCTCTCTCTTTTCTTTGATGAGAAATGACTTGTAGGATCTTGGCGATAGTGGCAACAAGGCTCCCGGCAGCTTTGCGGAATATGTTCTGAACTGGGAGAATGTGCTGTTGGTTGTTGTTAAATCAAAGCATCAAATATGACGGGTCATATGCGGTCGAAGTTATATCCCACTTTACCGTCGTACCCCCGGGCGGAAGTGGATCCGCGGCGACGGAGGCCATATCCGTCTCTCCGGTTGGGCTCTTCAGCAAGGGTCGTGGGGATCAAGGCCAATTCCATCACTGCGTATAAGAGTAAATGGAGTCTGCAAGGGGACCTCTCGGAAAGTCTTTCCGCTTGGGATAGTGAAGGGTGTGGAGTGTCTTTCGATTCTGCATGCGGACAAGGACCACGTAAACCCCTGGCAGACCGTTTTCTGTTGGAACCAGGGTCATTTCTATTTCACCAGCCTTTTGTACCGGGGACCATCAATGTCTGCTCATAGATACGGATACATTCCGTATGGCTACTGAGTAGAGAAAAAAGAAAGAAAGAAAACAAATGAGGGCAGTCGTAGTACATCAGCTTTCGGATATGACAAACAAGAGCGTCAGCCAAGTTAGATATACGTAGCCATCTAGCAAAAGAACAATCCCAAGAACACAGATACGAGCAAAGAGGAGGCTCGTCAGTATACTTGAGCAGCAGGTGACCAGGGTCCATGTCCATCTAGTACCTATCTGTCGTCAAATTTGTGCTTGAACCAGGAGGCAGTACTTGCAACAAGGTACTCGCATGTGAGGAGTGCTCTGATGGCTCAAATCACGGTGAAGTAGAAAAACAGAGGACTCATACGTTTGAATCAACCTTGTAGATTGGATTTCAACTGTCACAAAGATAATCACACTAGTTTCGTTACTTAGCCGAGAGATAGACCCAGTGACTGTCCCCTCTCCTATTATGCTGCTGGGTCGGAAGCTCGCGATGCATTGTGGCAGGGTACCGGCTCCTAAAGGATCTTCGGTGCTCATCTGGTTTCTCCACAGACCATGAACAGAATAATCAGTTCTCTAAGAAGCCTGCCACCCTGTGTACTGGAAGCGAGAATAATGTCACGATGTGATCTGCTATAGCCTATAAGTGAAAGACGCAGCTGTATGGGCAAATTTAGGTTGCTGCAACATGACGCTTTCGGGTCTACTGTTCTAAAAGAAGGAAGATGTGGTAGCTTCGAACTCAGTAGGTACATGAACAGCGCAGTCTAAGTATCATCAGAAATGCATACATGCTCGCGATCTAGCCCTCTTCATTAATATTTCCGAAGTCCTGCCTCCATCTCCGGAGCCGGTGCTGAAATTGCATGCTCAGGTACGCCAGAACACTACTCAGAGAGGAGACTGAATGACCGGGTACTTGGGAAATGCAGGTGCGTAGACCTGAAATGTGATCAGTAAGATGTCTTATACAGGAAGTAATATATTGCAGGATACGTACCGACTTGCAGCGAGCATTGAAATCGCCGGTCAACCCCTGAATGGCAGACAACTCGTCCCCAGGGACTCCGAGCTTGACCAAAGGCCCGGACTGAGGTGACCCCTTGGCCCATCCAGGCCCGGCAGCCGGGTTCTTGATCCAGTCCACGAACCAACCATGGATGGAATCAGCCAACGCCTGCTGTGCCTCAGTTACGCCCGTAAGTGAATCGAAGCACTCGTTGCCTCCATGGAAGAAGGGCACCTCGGTTCCGTGTGTGGGTGCCGTGCCCGGAACCCCAACCACGTTGTCGTAAGCTCCGAAGAATCTATAGACCCAGGTGTCTTGCTTGGCACTGCGCAGGTCAAGCAGATAGTCGACGGCGCAGTTGAAACGGGCGTCACCATATTGGGCACCACTTCTGAGAGACTCTGTCTCGTAATCGGAAGCATTATACGCCGCTAGCAGAACGTCGTCTTCAATGTGTCCACTATCTGCATCGAAAGTGTTGATCCAAGAGCTGAAGTTGCTGTTTTCGGCGCCATACACCAGGCTGAAGATGGTGCCCTCACCATCAGAAGTTCCCGTAAGGAGGGGCACGTGTGATGCATACTGGTCGGCCGCAAACCTTGCAGCATAATCAGAGTGCCTTGTGACGTTATCAATGACGGGAGTGAACCACGTGTTGAAGGTCGAGTTGAAGTCAGCTGTCTGGAAAGCGTACGAGTCGACACTGCGCAGGCACTCGACTTGGTTATCCCCTGCCTTCGGACAGCCAGCCTCAGCCGCTACGGCGTCGAATCCTTGGTTGACTGGCGCGTATCCTGGTCCAGACATGGCATTCGCACTCATCTGCACTGCTCCCTTGAGCCACGAATCTGGGTGGTTCCAGAGGTAGTGATCGACCTGAACTGCTCCGGACGAGTGACCGCCGAACACAATGTGATCGGGATTGCCTCCGAACGCATGGATGTTGTCACGGACCCAGTCAAGTGCCTTTTCGACGTCCAAAATACTGAAGTTTTGTGGTTCCTCGGGAGACATCTCGCTGAGCTCCGACGAGTGCGGCGAGGCAAAGATACTCTCGCGGGTATTGAAGTTGACGTATATCACACCGTTGCGGGCAAAGTTGGACCCTTGAAGTTGAGGATTACTGCTGGAACCAGTGACCATTGCGCCTCCGTACATGTATACGAACACAGGCAAGTTCTCGCCTGTCGAGGGTGCCCAGATGTTGAGGTTGAGGCAGTCCTCATCTTGCTGGCTGTAGAGAGTGCCGGAAATCGCTTGAGGGCAAGTAGGACCATGTGAGGTTGCGATCAACGTAGCGTTGGACTTTGACACATCTTGCGGCGCCCTCCATCGGTTTTCGCCAGCTGTTGTGGCAGCAAATGGGATGCCTAGGAATACCGAGTTGCAACTTGCATCATGGAATCCCTTGACCAGACCTTGGGATATACGGGCGTGAGGCGCAGATTGAGTTGCGTTGCTGCAAGCGCTTGCCAGGACCGAGGGCATCAAGCCAGAGAACAATATGGCAAGAGCCGCAGCTGATGGCGACATGTCGTTGAAGTGCATATTGTGTCAATCGGCCAATTCCTTCAAGCTGTAGAGAACGTGAAATGCATATTGACAAGATGGGATTCCCAGAAGAAAAGGAGATGGCTATCCAGCACCGTTTTCTTCAAGGTGGATATTAATTACAAAATACGACCTCAAGGCCTTGTCAACCCCACTGAAGACCGTTCTGGATTAGCCCATTACAACGGCTTTTTGGTGATGTTGCAGCGATCTCCTAGGGAGTCCTGCCCAGGCACATTTATGCTTCTTTTCAAAGTTTGGATGATCTTCTCTTCCCCAGATGCTGATTTTCCCTTGTCCTAGAATAGTATTTCTTTCAATAGGGCTGATGGTAATGAGTCGAAGACTTCCAAGCATCCTCACATTCAACTGAGTTGAGGGAGCAGGGGGAGGACGAGGTTACGTAAAACGCCATAAGCACCGTCAGCAAACCCCCTGGCATCACGGCTAACTTGCCAAAAAGGGGAGAGGTGAGCGGGCAAAAAACATGACTGGCTTTTCGAAAATATTATCAGCTCATGGCCTCAATAGTCCGGTTCTTCTCGTCTTTCTCGAGCAGCCAATATTCTCTACTTTGTCGCAATGAATTTACGGCGAGTAACCGGCGTTTCTCTCCTTGTTGACAGGTAGTGACTACAACTCGTCTTTTTCGTTTCTGGGCGGATCAAAAGTCTTCTTCTTCGTCATACCAGCCAGGATGTCGACAATTAAGTCAGCGGCAGCGACGGAAGTTGTCTCGGCCACAGAGTCATAAGGCGGGCTGACTTCAACGACATCAGCACCGACCAGGTTGAGTCCTTCAAGACCCTTGAGGAATCGCTTCAACTCTCTCGTTGTCCAGCCGCCTGACTCTGGCGTTCCAGTAGCTGGAGCAATGCTCGGATCGAGGACTGTAGCGTTGTTAGTTAAACATTCGTCATGATGGGGCGGTCCCAACTTGCCATCAATGTCGATGGAAAGATACACTGGCGTATTGCCAACTGCGTCTCTGACTTTCTTGACGATGCCACTCATGCCAATATCGTCAATCTCATGAGCTTCAATTATGGTGAATCCGACAACATCCCTGTCGATTTCATAGTCTTTCGGGCTCTGCATTATGTCAGATAAGTTGATCACTGTAAAACTAATATGAGTCGCTACTCACGAAGAGCTTGGTCCTCAGACCGCCATGAACGCTGGTGCCCTTGCTGATGCACCCTTCTCGGCTCGCATGCCAGAAGAAGGTTCCATGGGTGATGGCAGACTGGTTCGAAACGATTCCCGTATAGCCTTCATAAGGATCCCATCTGCGCATGAGTGTTGTTAGTGGCTGATGACTTAAGCCAGTAGCGCTGAATGTGAGGAGTCTTACGTGTCAAGGTGCGAATCGAGATGAATGACGGAGATGGGACCATAAACTGTCTTCAGACTACGCAGAATTGGCAAGACTATAGAGTGATCTCCTCCAAGGCTGATGATGCGGGGATGTTCCCATTCATCTAGAATGTAGGTTAGCGGTTGTGACTACTTTGCATGTCTGTTGTTGCCAACACCAGTGGACTTACTCTGATCGGTGGTCGGATGATAGAGAATCTGTCGATACGCCTGTTCCATCTGCTTAAACGCATGGCTGGCATCAAATGGCGTGATGGGCACGTCTCCACAGTCGATCTTTCACCGCGGCATTGCGTTAGTGCTACGTGATCCATGAAGATGTTCAGTCAGATAAGCCCTCACAATTTCTAGCCCCTGTTCGTAGGGGTCAACCTCCCACACGGTGTTATAACTACGCCCTTTCTTCTCCCTGGACGATCCAGCCCGAATACCTCTCGGGCCGAAGCGAGCGCCTGGACGGTAGGAAGTAGAGGTGTCATAAGGAAAGCCCAGAACGGCAATGTCTAGAGGCTGGACTCGGGGTCAGATGAAACCTCACATGGCATTTGAGCTGCACGTAATATACCTTATTATGCGACTCCGCTAAACAACGTTGCCATTCCAAGTGCGCAAATGTCACAGGCTGGGAAAAGGGCAGATCTTTGTCCAGATCTGGGGAGAAGGTTAGCTGAGAACCTTGCAAACAGCCGCCGAGACAGCCGAACATACCTTCAAGGGGATATTGATAGTTCGGGCCAACATTTAGGGCAGCTGCAAGGTCAGCACCCGCGCAGAGTAGGATTGCATCTGCAAGACGCATAGTGAACGTGAGTATTGGTTTTCTTGGCTTGAATGTTTCGCAATAGATCTGGCTTTGGTAGGTGACATTTTTGTATGATGCTCATCGTATGATTTGCTTAAATAATATCCGACAAGGCGCGCATGTTCAGATGACGACTGGAGTGAGGAGAACCAACGCCGATTCGAGGCCGATAGGTTGAAGCCTTGATGCACCTATCAGACGATTAGAGTTAATCAAAGGCAAGAGACTCCGACAGCACCAACGGCCGGGAATAGGGCCCCCACATCGGTCAAGCCGACTCCTGGAAGTCGACTCCGATATCTTTGGGGATGTTTCACGCGCTATCATGGGCTAAGGCGCGCCTTTAGATAAGAGGTTGGCTTATCTCTTTGAGCTAGACGAATGAGTCGCGAATATCTTCAAAGTATGGTGAATTCAATATCTACAAGGTTCTTTAAGTATAAATATAAATGCAGCTGGGAGGTAATATGTCAAGTCGTTTGGTGGTAGTCAGAGACTCCAGGTAAAGCATTTCGGGAAAGCTTGTTCAATGAACCCTATCGACATCCCTGTCTCCAAACTTCTGCATCATTAACTCTCGAGCCGTCGCACTCTCCTTGATACGAACATCTGCAAGTAAATATGATGGAGACAAAGACAGAAGGCGACAGCGACAACAAGGTCGGAGGCCATGTTGCAGCATCATCTCATCCGGAATCCATCGAAGCTACGGAAACTGCGGAACTCTCGACCAAGCGCGGCCTCTCTGCCCGACATGCACAATTCATCGCTCTTGGTGGAACCATCGGCACCGGCCTCTTCGTCGGTTCCGGCAGCACCCTCGCCCGTGGCGGACCGGCCTTTCTCGTTGGCAGTTATGTCGTTATGTCAGCCCTGATCTACATGGTCTTGACTGCAGTCATTGAGATCTCGACGTACCTTCCGCTGCCAGGCGGCACCATGAACTACTACGGCAGCCGATATGTCTCGCGAAGTCTCGGTTTCATGATGGGATGGCTCTACTTCTACTCTTTTGCAATCTTCGTCCCCTTCGAGCTCACGGCATCAGCCTTGGTCATTGAGTACTGGAATCCGAATGTCAACAACGCCGTCTGGATCACAATCATGTTGGTAATGGTTGTCGGCCTCAACCTTCTACCTGTGAAGTTCTACGGCGAAACGGAGTTTTGGTTCGCTGGACTGAAAGTCCTGACCATTGTTGGTCTGTTGATCCTCTCAATCGTTCTGTTCTTCGGCGGCGGTCCATCCCACGAGCGACTTTATTTCCGGTACTGGAAGGACCCCGGCGCTACCAAAGAGCTGATCGTTCAAGGAGACGCCGGCAGATTCGTGGCCGCATTATCAACTCTCCTCAGCAGCGTGCTTCCATTCACTTTTTCGCCCGAAATGGTTGTGGTCACTGCCGGAGAAGTTCAGTCTCCTCGCAGAAACCTGCCAAAAATCGCCCGCAACTTCTTCTGGCGATTGATTGTCTTTTACATTGGCGGTACCATTGCCATCTCGGTCATCTGCCCGTCCAACGCACCGGCCCTTACTAGCGGAAGCTCTGGAGCCGCGGCTTCTCCCTGGGTTGTGGGAATCAAGAACGCGGGAATCAAGGGACTCGATAGCGTAATCAACGCCGTCGTGGTTACGGCCGCCTGGTCCGCCGGCAATTCGTTCCTCTATCTGGCAAGCCGATCTCTGTACTCAATGGCCTGTGAAGGCAGCGCCCCGCGGATCTTCAAGCGATGCACCAAGCAAGGAGTTCCCATCTACGCCGTCATAGCCAGCTCGTTATTCTCGCTTCTGGCTTACATGAACGTCAACTCCAACGCAGCAGACGTTTTCAACTGGCTGCTGAATCTCGTCAACACTGGAGGTTTCATCTCCTGGGTCTGTTGCGGAATCATCTACATCCGCTTCCGAAAGGCCTGCGACGTTCAGAATTTACCGAAATCAGCTCTTGTCGCACGATCCTTTTTGCAGCCTGTTGGGTCATACATCTCGCTGATTATGTTCGGACTTCTGTGTCTTCTCAACGGTTTCACTGTCTTCTTCCCATCTCGCTGGTCCGTGGCAGACTTTCTCTCTGCGTACATCGGACTGCCTTTGTTTATCGTTATCTACTTTGTCCATCGATTTCTACATCGCGCTGATTCCTGGGCCATCTCCTCTCATGAGGTGGACCTCAAGACTGGACTCGCAGAGTTGGAGGCAGAAGAGTCATTGGAGGAGCCCAAGGAAGGGTTGCGAGCGCGGTTCAAGCGCCATGTAGGTCGATCTTAGGATGATGACAGATGCAGGAGTGATAGGGCGTCGCAGTCTCCTGCCCGACTCCGATAGGCGGCTAAGTCTAAGAGGCTTGACAGTCATAATGATTTAGGTGCTTGATAAGACACTGTGTAATTTGAGATTGAGAATGAATAATATTAGACAAGTTTCTCGGCTTCAGTACATTGAATAGCCACCATCTTCCCATTCCAGTCCCTTTTACCTACCTTAGCCTCGCTACTGAACTGAACTGCCATGATGCAACAAGCCAAAGTCCTCATAGTGGGCTGCGGTTCTGTAGGAACCATGTGTGCGTTTGCTCTTCAGAAGTCCGGAGACGCCGAGGTCACTGCTATTCTCCGGTCCAATTATGATCTAGTCCAGACCCAAGGCTATCACATCCAGAGCATTGACCACGGGGAAATTGCTGGCTGGAAACCCCATCACAGTGAGTCGCTTAATATCAGTTCGATTCCGTCCCAGACGTAATGATACTGACGCGCCACAGTGGAAAGACATCTAGAAGACGCACTACAGCATGGCCCTTTCGACTTTGTCTTGGTGGCTACGAAAAACTTGCCTGATGTGTACTCGATCCCAGATATCATTGGTCCCGCGATTGCACCCCAGACATCAATCGTGCTCGTTCAGAACGGCATTGATATTGAGCCACCATTACTCGAAGCCTTTCCGAACAACATCTTACTCTCAGGCGTCCCGCTGATAGGATGCGAACTCCACGGACGCGAGATGTTGCATAATGACCCAGATATTCTTCAGCTTGCGTACTGGCCAAATCCAAAGTTTACACCTGAGAACCAGAGCACCGCGTGCGCCGCTTTTGCTCGGATTTACAACAATGGTGGTGCCAAATGCAACATCCAGACGGATATCTCTTGGTTCCGATGGCGAAAGCTCATCTGGAACGCTTCTTTTAACACCGTCTGTGCCATAACGAATTTGGACTCGGGCGCCATTCAGGATGCTGGTGGTCTGGACACCCTGATCCGCCCAGCCATGAGAGATGTTGTGGCAGTTGCCCAAGCAGCGGGGCATATCTTCTCCGATGAGATCTTGGATGACATGGTTGCATTCACGCCCAAACAAGCCCGTCTGAAGCCGAGTATGCAGGTTGACGCGGTGAGGCAGAAGCCAATGGAGATCGAGGTGATCTTGGGAAATCCTATCAAAACCGCGAAGAAACTTGGCGTGCTGGTTCCAACTTTGGAATTTCTCTACAGCCTTTTGCAAACCAAGCAGTGGAGTTTCTTGAATTTGGAGGAGTGAATCTTGTTTCCCATATTTCTTATGTGCTTATCGCAACCTATGTACAAGAAAAATATGATTTTTCCATTCTTCGTTCCCTGTGTCGTTAAGAAGTACATGTAAGCCTCCTAGCGACGGATGTGCACTCTCATGTTCCCGTTGCCCCAAGCGTTGTTCTGACCGAAAACGAGACTGCCACGGGTGCAAGCGTCCATGATCTGGCCTGCCGACCGGGCAACATTGCCGCAGGGACTGGATGTGTCCCTGGGAGGGTTGCCACCGGTAGCAACACCGGCGATCTGAGCCTGGCCACGGTGGCAGAAGACAGTGGCGCTGACGACGGCCTTGCACTCCACATTGGCGCGGGCAGCGATGAAGTCGATACACCAGACGGCATCAGCAACCTATCATAGGCAATCAATGTCAGTGAATGCCTTTCATGAAAATACCATGATTCATCGTCGTGTGGTGGTTACAAGACCCTTTCGTGGTAGGCTGGCGGAGGAATAGCTCAGAGTGACTTACAGAGGCAGCGTTATCGTTGTCGTTGAATGTGCAGCTGACATCCTGCTGGCGCTTCTCAAGACCATCTAGACAGTGACAAGTCAGCCATTGGTGGTTCTAGTTGCAAGGCAACATTAAGACAACAATGTATCACGAACCGCTTGAAGTCTGGTTGAATGCGAGAGCCATGGCCTCCTCGGGCGAAGGATGTTGCCCGTTGGGGTTGGCAATGATATCCTCAGCCCACTTCTCGAAAGAGAAGGGAACGTTCTGCTCGGTGGCCTCGGCAGCAGTAGGGGCGGCGGCAATGAGAGGGATAAGGGCCAGAAGGCCGGCGGCGCGGATGAAGTTAACCATTTTGTCAGTGAAGAGATATTATGTTAGGTTGTTTGAAGAATGATGAGTTGTGGCAATGATCTGAAGAGAAACGACGCAGCTAGGTGTCCGCGATAGAGCTATTTATACCCACCGAGATAAAATTCTCGAGGTGCCTTGAGAACTCACTGAGGAGGGCGTTAGACGAGAGGATGTCACGCTTGCCACTTCTGGAAGTTTTATGGACATCTAGACCTGCACCGCTGTCGAAGGAAGGATCTAAAGTTTCCGAGGAAGGCTGGCTCAGCTGCAAGGAGTTGGATCCTCACGATGGGGCTGACATTGCCGCAAATCGTTAATTGGGAATCCAGTCTAATACATGCACGGCTTAGTCTCTTGACCGGACAACTTCAATACACCTCACACTCACCATCAATGAGTCCGTGTTAGCACGTTGGGGAGCTCATATCTAAACCACAGAACCCGGTAAAGTCTTGGACGTGGATATTGGCAATCTCTTACTTCTGTCCAATACTCAAGTGATTACGTGGCATTTCTTTCGTTCCCCGATATCTGCTAAAGCTTGATTTATCGCAATTCATTCTCTGCCTGACATGAAGTCTTCGTTTCCGGCGAAAATAAAACTTGGTGTCTGGTCGCCAAGCCTCGGCTCCCATCTGTGACCTGGCAGCCCCAGTCTCACAGTAAGATCAACAAACCCATCGGCAGCAACGGGTCAGAGTGGCTACCCTTGGCAACTTGCCATTATCTTGAGCTTAGGGCTAGACTATAAGCAATACGAGGAACACACCCATGGTTACCAGAGCCGGAAAGAGCCCAATTGGACATCTCGCAATTGAACGCGAGGATCTTACTTAGGCACCCGCAATCCGAGATCTCGGCAGGTTTCCCATAGGCTCGCTCGGGTGGCATAGATTAAGTTGAATGGGTCTCGGCACGACCCAGTGGCGGTGTATCAGCACTTGTTGAAATAAGCAGGTCCAAGGCGGGGAATTGACTTTTAGAGGCATAGGGCGGAAGGACCCGCTGAAACGGTCCGAAGCGTGATACTTTTCAAGTTGTTCCCCTCAGTTCTGACTGCGAGGAACCCTCTCAAGAACCTTCCAGTGCTCAACTTCACATCGTCGCGAGAACAGTGATTTATGACAATCAAGTCATGGGGCCGCAATTTTACCCTGGTATCGTTTGCTACCGTCCTTGAAAGAAAAGAAATTATTTGGATTCATCAACCCCAAGAACAATATATCGGAGACAACCACCCAGCATACCTAATGGGGGCCAGGTAAGCTCTTCACAGAGTCCAAAAGTACATAAAACAAGCGAAGTGTACTTCCTATGTTATTTTTTCCCCAGAAGAACGTAAGAGTTGGATAGAAGTGGTTTGATGCTGGACTTTAAGAGATAACCGGTGACAATCCAAAACCCTGGTACATTTTAACTTTTTCTACTCTAGAAGGCCACCCAACAGCCCAACAGCATTTTCGCGGGTCTTCAAGGATTTCTTAAGCCAGCAATTCCCATTATACCCCCCTGTGGTGTCCAGATTTCGATTGAAAACTGCTGCAAGGCACACTCTGGACCCCCTATATCGATTGTATGACGCACAAGCCCTCAAACAATCTAAATACGAGTGGGCCACAATGGCTACTATGTCGTTCGTTTCCCCTGGTCCGTAATTCGTCCCGCAATGAACCGTAAACTTTGCCTCTTCGTCGCATAGTTTTATTGTTTCTGATCTGCCGTCTATGTTGGAGCAGTGAGGGTCGAGTATCTCTATGTGTTGTGTTGGCACCTCTGATGAGTTTCCGGTGGTTGAGGACACGACAGACCTGGTCGTTGATCATTAGTCTATTGGACGTCTCATCACTTGTCAACTTTATAAAAAGGAAGTCATACTCTCTCGCTTTTTTAACAGCCAACGTGCCACCCACACCACCGCCAATAGCTGCTGTCACCAAAACCACGACCAGCAAAACACTAAGAACGAACGTCGCTGGCCTCAATCCGAGGATTGCACGCTTTTTTGTCGAAGAGTCTGGGATTTTCGATTCCAGAACATGCTGAACCGGATGATCACATACAAGAGCCACTTGCTTATGGGTTTTGTCAGGAGAACAGGCCTCGGGGTCATCCGGAATGTAAGCCTCAGGGCCGGTAGAGTCCATCATGTGCTCTTGTACCCCCACATGAAGCAGCGCATGAAGTCTCAGACTCTCAGTCATAAAAGAAGATAGGAGCAGATATTAGTGTCAATGGAAAGTGAACCGATAGAAGAAATAGGACGGATGGAATAGAGGGAATCAACGACCAAGTATTGAGCTAATAATGAACTCAATGGTGTCAATATCGGCTGGTTATTCACACAGTACTGTGTAGTCTTTGTGTCCTGGGAAATCAAGAGCTAACAATTTCTCGACTAATTCGTGGGGTTTGAAACATTGCTGACCTTCAGAGAGGCCTGATGATCGCTCGTACAACCTGGACTGCCCTTATGTGTAACTAAGTGTACGACATACCGTCAAAGAGACTGAAGTCTAACACACTTACTGTAGCGCATTGCTTACTTGGGGAAGTACAAGCACCTGAAGCTCGGAGAGAGTCTTGTACATGTCTGACTGTGCTAAGAGAATCAGGCCGGCTAGGCTTGAATGCTAGGGCTGTAATACACAGTGTATCGTTCTTTGTACGCGTTGGCCGTCAATCAGTTGGACAGCGTGTCAGGCCATTTTGCGTCAAAATCGTTTATCGAATCAAACAAAACTGAGCATTTGAATTACAATGTGCGAATTCTAGCAAACCGATGATCTCGCATAAGTTTCAGAGTCAAGATTGCAACGTGAAAGCGGAGATAAGAGAAATTCCGGATGTGATGCACAACGATACTTTATACCTCAAACATTTGTTGAATATAGAGAAGTGAACACCACCCGCTAGACAAAGAACGTTCAGTAGTCGGATGTGGTGCGACAAACCTCAGTGATTCTAAGATGTACTCAATCCGGGAACATCAAGTTAAACGATACTTGTGTGTTGGTTCGCGTCAGCTGTTGTCGACATCAAACTATCAATCATGTAGCAAAGGGATGTGAACCTATGTGCGTGTCTTAAACCCACAAGGGAAGTCAATGATAATTCGGGGGCATACCTTAGTTAACAACATAGAAATCTCCTAGATGGGTAATAAAGCCAGTTCATACCCATAGTCCGGCAAAAACATCATCCACATGAATTCCGGCGTAGTTGAGCGAGAGTTACGCTCACCTCTCTAGATGGCCGCTGAGCGTGTGTCCAGACGAGTCGCTTGCCGGCGGCTGGTACATCATACCTATAGGGATGTTTCATTGGTGGTCCCCATGATTCCTGTCACGCTTCTAGAGACGAAGGAGGCCGAGTAAGTCCATGTTTTGTTTGTAGTCGGAAGTGGGTTGGCCTGCACGACTTGGTGAGGTGGACTGGAAGGGGCCGAGGTCCGCACGCTATGTTAGAGAAAACTGCGTCAGCAGATTGATACCTTATTTAAAGGCAGCGACCATCGCAAGGCACGTCAAAACCTCAAAGTCTGGGTGACTCCATCGCACTCTCTTTTGCGCTATACAGCAGGACAAACCTTCATTTCTACGAGTGACAAGGAGGATTAGAACTGTTTGTAAGTAAAGGCTATCGACTATGTTGTATGAAGGTCAACAGATGCCTGTTGCTTATAAACTGTAGAAGTCCTTGGTTCTATCCGAGTAAGAACTAATGGTCTACTCAGGTGTAGCGATCATAATATTTACAAGAGGAGGGGACTAAATGCTCAGTCCAGGATGCCACCCACAGCAGAATTATCAGATATCGACCGGGGACTAGTCGCATTCTTGAGCCAACAATTCCCATTGTTTGGGCCAACATTACCCAGATTCGCATTGAAGGTCGCCGCGACGCATGTTCTCGACCCTGAGTTGCGATTGTATGATGCACAAGCCCGGAGGCAGTCCAAGTACGAATAGACTACAACGGCAACAATGTCTAGAGCTCCTTTTGATCCAAAACTCATGCCACAATGCATAACGAATTTGGCGTCAACATCAGAAAGTGCAATTGTTCTCGTTTCGCCCTCCATGGCGGGACAGGGGAGCTGGATTTTCCCTTGTGTTGGAACTACTATCGGGCTATCGCTGTCCGTCGATGCAGGGACCAGCGCGGTGACTGTGGTCGTAACAACTGTAGTTGGCGATGCTACGGACGACATTGCATCACTGAGAACCAATCATCAGAAATTTGTGGCGGAAGGGAATTGACATTGGATCATACTCTCTCGCTTTTTGGACCGCCAGTGAACCCCCAACGCCACCACCCACAGCGGCTATCACTATTACTGTAGCCAGCAAAACACTAAGAACAAATGTCGCTGGCCTCAGTCCGCAAATGGTACGTTCTTTCTTGACGGGAATTGATGAATAAGTTTCAGGTGTGGTCGGCGCATAGTACGATGATTCATGTTGCCGCGGTTGTTCGGGAACTACTTGTTTGTGGGAAATATGAGGAACGTACGTCTCGGGGCCGGAAGAGTCCATCATGTACTGGAACTTCTGTGTTCAGGGTGAAGGAAAGGCATGGACTTTGTTCTCGAGAACGTCATCCAGGAAGAAGAGAAGAAGAGCAAGAAGAAACAGAAAAAGGGCACGTTAAGCAAACTGACGCCGCTCAAACAGCAAGGGATGGCTTATGTAGTATCTCACTCACTTACAAGGAGACACAGGATCTCGAAGGATCTTGCGGTCATTGGTACTCTCTCGACATTTGTGGAAGTCGGAGACCAGGGATCCAACCAGAGCTGCGCACATGTCTCACTGGGCTGTGAGGATCAAGCAGGCTGAAATGAGGCGCAGAGACTGTGCTACACACCATCATGGCATCTCGCGCATCTATTCGTCCGTTTTGCAGCATGTGAGACGGCTTGCATCAAAGTCATCAATCCGAACCAATCGTTCTGATTTGGGGGCCAAAAGTCCAACCTGAAGCTTACGCCCAGAGTTCGTTGAAATTAAACATAGTCAACCTCAGGGCTTGGCAGGCAGGGTTTATCTGATGATTCATAGGCCCCTTTCACCTGGCCAGAATTTGTCTATTTACGATCTGCCTTGTGCAGAAAATCGATGTTGACTGATAGCACTTGGTGGCATTTGACTGCACAGATGCCCTACCTGCCCCGCTATATTGTGCCTATATTCATATATCGTCAAACTGTGCGCTTTCAAACATGGCAGCTTCGGGCTCACTATGTTGAAGGAACTCCCCGTCTTTTTTTTATGATAGATTCACTCCGATTCTCGAAGCTAGAGAGGCTACCGAGAAACTATCTGTAGCTTGCACGTGTTTATAACAGTAAGTAGACGTTGAAAGTCGCTGGTGTGCCTCCGAAAGTCATGCAATGCAACAAAATTAGATCTTCCCCTAAAGTCCTCTTCAAAGCCAAGTTTACGAGAGAAAGTCTCCGCCTGACATGGCCAGTTCATATTCGTAATCCGGCTGGAACTCCAACCACATGGCCTCAGGTGTAGTCAACCGGTATGTATACTCAGCTTCGGCATCAGGACAAAGGTGCTTCTCGATCCCCGATGCTACAGCAGCCTCTGCAAGAAGCTGTATGCGACAGGAATTTTCCATCAGGGTATACAGGAACGCCGCCTCATCGACGGTCTTCCCTGTCGTCAAGAGACCATGGTTCTTCAAGATGGCACACCTTTTGTTGCCTAGAGCTGTAGCTATCCTCTCTCCTTCCGAGGCTTCGAATGCAATGCCGCCAAACATGTCGTGAACGGCATGATCTTTGAAGAATGTGCACGCGTCTTGGTTGAGCATTTCCAGTGGTCTCCCGAAGGCTGACCATGCCTTGCCGTGGATGCTGTGGAAGTGGCATGCTGCATTGACGTCGGGTCGGGCTTCGTGAAGGGCGGAGTGGATGTTGAAACCTGCGTTGTTGATACATGCCTACAAGAACCGATTAGTTGGCTGATCCGCGAATTCCGGGTCGACAAAGGTACGATAATCTGGACTCACGTAATTTCCACCAATAATTTCTCCCTTCATATTGACATGGACCATGTCACTCGCTTTCATCAGACCAAAATGGCGAGTAAGACTAGAAACATCAAAACATGGTAAGAAAGCTGTGTTGTAGGTCGCTGAGAATGGTGCAACTTACGGGTTGATCCAAAAAGTTTCAGGGTCGACCGGGTCACGAATCGAGATGTGACCCGCCGTACCTTCAACATATCCCTTGCGAGCGATCACTCGAAAGGCACCGGCCATACGTTCCAGCATCCATTTGCGTTCTTGATACGGATCTGGGAATTTGGGAATGCCCTTGATAGGAGCACTTCTGCCAATGGTTGCACCGGTTCCATCAATAGTTGACAAGCCATCCATGAATGTGTCTTCGACCCTTGGGCGGAGTGCTTGCATCTCGGTGCCTCGATGTTCTGTTACCGAGGCTCGCGTTTGGATGGACTGCAATACGGTGGTAGTTGTAGCCATTTTCAATATGTTCAAGGCAAAAGATTTGACTCCTCTGAATATTGGAAGTGTTATGAATTCAATTCTGTATAGTTTGACTGAGAAATCGTCAATTACGAGACAGCTGTGACACCGACTGGATCGATCCTGATATCGTTCTGGGCCTCTTGTGAAAGCACCATGTCAGGGGCTCCAACTACCGTTGCGATCCCCCAAAATCCGAACCCAGGGAGGCGAACCGACCAGCTGGAACCATGCAAGACATTTGCCCTGCGCATCACTGCAAGAGATCCCGAATCATTCCAGCTACCTGGAACTACTAGCCCGGGCAGCTGACAGCGACGCCCTATCTTGACGCCATCTTCAGCCCAAATTGGCTAAGGTGGATCCTGTCGGAGTCTCTTTCCCCATGACATTCTTGCGGGCGTTGTCTTATCGCAGCGCGAAACAATGATTGACAACTTCGGAATTACTCAACACTTGTCTGCTCATTGTCCCAGTCAATCTCGTATCTTGTATTCTTACTTTAGCTGTAGGTACATGAGCGTAATAGCATTGAGAAGTTAGTCGAGATTAGACAACGCCATCGCAAGATATGATTTGTTCCTTCGGTCATCTTGAGACGTCGTCCCTATAGGGAAGGAAACGACGAAGACAGTACCATTACAGAAGAGACGCGATCTGTCCAGCGACTCTTCTTTGCATTCGAATACAAATCGACGGTTTCCTCGGACACAATGCTTTCCTCGCCAGTCCATCTGCTGGGGCTGGCACGGCACAGCGCATCGTCACCACGGTCACTTGGATACATCTAAACTTTTTATCTTTATACTCCATCTTTCAGCTACATCATGTCTACATTCTGCATCACGCCTACAGCTGCTTCAACCCAAGGCCCCTTGGGCCGTGGTCTTGGACTCTGCTCCGGACAACGGGAACCCGACTACAATCTCTTGCAGCCCTTCGAAGCCATGCCAGAGGAGATATCTGGTTCAACCGTATGGGTAAAGGAGGAGCTGAGTCAGAATAGTGGGCGCTGGCTTTATCGTTTTACCGAAGATCAGGTAGAACACATCATTGCTGCCGTCCGCAATATCGAAAACCGAGGCTTTCAACTCTCTAAAGTCGACAAGGCAACCTTCGAGCTCCCTAGCCCCTTTGTGGACTTTCTATACAGAATTCGAGACCAACTGATCAACGGGATCGGCTTCGTCGTGCTACGTGGTCTTCCCGTCGAATCTTGGACAACCCGACAAGCCTCAATCGCATAAGTCAACATACCCACTTCCTGGCACCCCCCTGTTTCTGGCACCCACAAAAACGCGAAAATCCACCACAACCCAATGCCCACCCCCAACCTCCTTTTATCACAACATTTTCAATTCGCGTCCAAATGGGCTCATCTTTTGCACATGTCTTCTTCTATATATAATGCCTCAATATACCGAAGATCAGCTTCGTCAGGCTCTCGAGGA